CAGTTCAACTGCATTTTATCAAAGGTTAATCTTGCGTGTTTCAGATGAAGCTAAGCCTGCAAATGAAGGGTGGAAGCAAGGTTATGAATACTTTATGAGCCTCTGAACAATGGCCTTTTGATAATCAGACAGATGCACTTGATTGCAGCTGCTGTAAGACCAGAAATATTCCTCTGTGTGTCTCTAAGCACTGACAAGATACCAGCGTGCCATATTTGAGCAACATACTTAATAGTTGGGTTGATTTTGTTGCCGTTTTAATTATTTTTGAGAACCTGGTGCTCAGAGACGCCTTGTGTTGTCTGGCTCGCTGACACAAGCTGCACCACTCAAAAAAATCAAGATGTGTGAGGAAAGCCAAGGCACATGAAGAACCTATTAGGAGGCCTAGCAGCCAGCAGCAACCCTGGGAGGCCAGCCAACTCAGTGTGTGAACAATGGGAACCCAGCTCAACAAAAACATCCTGCAGAAGTGAGGGAGGGAGGGAGAGGCTGGCCAGATAACCCGACTTGGTATCAAAACACAGAAAGGCCCTGTGTTTAAAATGAGCTAACTTTCCTGCTGTTTTGAAGCTGACAAAAGAAATGCATCAGATCGGTGCTGCAGAAACTTGGAGCTGAGGTGACGTGTGGTTCAGCTGCAGCTGTTTCCAAACCAACACCACACACTGTTTTTTTCCCCTTCACGTCGGTGAAACCAGAAGTGAGATCCTTTCATCACTTGAATTCACACCGAAATGCAAACTCCCAAAAACCACAAGCATGATTTCCATCACATTTGCAACACTTTTTTTTTTTTTTTTTTTTTACTCAAAACAGTCGACACCCAGAAAATGTTGCGACATGAACAGTCCCAACATGTGAGCGAGCTGTTGCTTTTCCCACAACCTGTTTACTGCAAGCAGCAATGAGGAATCAGAGGGATAACAGCACGACCGAACTGAGTGAACTTGACTTAAACCCATTAAGGGACCGAGATGGGGTAGAGGCAGGGCAGCTGACCTGGGACCTGAAAGCCCCAGATTCGATTCCCAGCCATTCCCACATGCTGCGGTGTCTCTGAGCAAGACACCCAATCCCAAATTGCTCCCCGAACACTTACATAGCCACTCACTGCTCCACCTGGGTGCATCCCAGGTGCAATGGGTTGAATGCAGAGAAGTAATTTTGCCGTTGTATGGGGACATACAATGATGACAACACATGAATACAAATACAAATGATTAAATTTTGAACTCATTTCAATTCAAGATGGCCTCCACAGCTAGTTAATCTTGAAAACACAAAAATAGCTACAGCTCAGAACTAAAATATGGTGTGGTAGTAGATGAACATTTACCCAAACACATACGTTAAACAAAACACATTGTGCAGAATCTTTGATTAAATTCCTGGCAATAACTGTTGAAGTCAATCCTGCTAGTCTGTTAGCAAAATATCACATAATAATTGGATGTACGTCTACAGCTGTTTTTTTTTTAAGTGCCATAACGACACAAGATGGCTAATCTTGCCCTTCAGTATAATTGAGCTAAAATTTGGTGTATTAGCTGAAAGTCATTCACAACATACTCCAAGACAGATAGATCCTGTGAGATCACATCAGATATTGCATATAATTGCACGTTATTTTAAAGTTTGAAGAAATTATATAAAAATTTGTCATGAAAATCAGCAGATGATATGAATTATTTCCAGGAAGGTCATAGTTTTAATGAACTTATGTATTCCCTTTTTAATTACTGAAAGCTGCTATTGTTTATGCAGGTATTTTTATAGAACAGTAGAGAATAAGTAAAACCCACAACAGCAGACAAATCAGATACCGTATTTTTCGGACTATAAGGCGCATTAAGCGAAACAAAACAGTCAGATAAGTCGAAATTTATTCAACTCATTCACAATAACCACATAAAATCGGTTCGAGGTCAGTAAGCACAACCAGAATTAATACATAAGGCTCACTGTTGATTTTTGAGAAAAATCAAGGATTTTAAGTGCACCTTATAGTCCAGAAAATACGGTAATTGTGCATCTTTGAACTTTACTTATTGTGCTGTATGGCAGGTTAAACAGCATAAAAATAATTTTTTAAAAAACAATATGAACATGAGCTGAACGTTAAAACAGAAGAGCGCAGAAGAAGGGTGTTTTGGAAAGTTTGTGTGTGAGGGTAACATAAAACCATCTCTCCCACAACACACACAGAGGGGAGGGGACCCTAATTTAAACTGAGCCTACCCACAATGCACTGGGCTCCTTTATCCCAGCAGTGAAAGGATGAGACCAGATGAATGACAAAAGGAGAGAGAGAGGGATCTGGGCTGTGTGGACAGCAGGGAGGCAGAGGAGGAGGACGGGGGTGTTTCTCCAAACTCTTTCTATGAACATGTCTGCAGGAGGGAGGACGAGGCGTTAAAAATAAAACAAATGTGAGAAGAAAAAAAAAATCCAAACAGCACTTTTTCTTTTCTTTTCTGAGTTTAATGATTTTTTTTACTGGCTTGTACAGAAACGTACAAAAATAATACAGCACTCATCTCCACGTGACATCACGTCATCATCACAGTGTTACAAATGTTCAAAAAATAAAATAAAGGTTTTACAAAAAGAGGGAAAATAATAATAAATCAGACAAGCTGGAACATCTGCATCACTCGTTAAAAGATTCATCCATTTCCTCTCGCTTGAAATGAAGCAAGACCAGAAGCACAAGTTGACCCAACTTTCTAACTCTCAAATTCTTCTTCAGACAAAAATAAAATAAAATAAAATAAAAATCACCTCACTCATGTACATCAATCTAACAGCTGGCTTATACGTCATAAATGTTATGACCTTGTAAGCCAAATAACCACACAACCGTGCAATTTTTAACCATGTTACATTGATCTTACCATCAAATGTATTATTCCCCTTTATAAGAACTAAACAGGAAGACGGCACTTCAGAAAAGAAAGTGCCCCAAAAATATCATCGTCAGCATCAGCATTGATATATATATCCATAAGTATATATACATACACCCAATCACAGAGATACACACATCTTTGTTGAAAAAACATGCTTCTTTTCTCTTTTTTCCACAAAGTGAAACACACATTAGGACATTATCACATGGAGCATACATTTATACAATAGTATTTTGTTGTGTCTGTTCATTTTATTTTTTCTATTCAGAAAAAATATATATAAAAGTCGACACATAAAAGCCAACTTTTCGACCACAGCCACCAGTGCAATACTTTAAAAACAATAAATCAAGTTTAAGAAAAGCGATGCATATTTTATCTGTTGCCTGATCTGTAAAATGATTTTAATGTTCCGAGGTCGGTTTTTTTTTTCTCTGTTTGACACAGGCCTCGTGAAAAAAAAAAAAAAAACACTCACGCGTCACACTCTCATAAAAAACACTCAACAAAACAAGCTTCTCATGAGTTAAACCAGTGTTGCTGTGAAGCTTCTCCAATAAAAAAATTACATTAACAAGAAAAGACACAAACAAGCAGCATTGTTAAAAAAAATGTTAGGGTGTCATGACTTTCAAAATGCAGCAGGCACGTTTACAAACCTAATTTTTCTTGGGTTTTTTTGCACGTGACATCCTATAACAGTCACGAGTTGTTCTCAAGAAGTCTTCATCGTCCATCAGTGAATCCTGCTCAGTAGTAAAAACTATTCCAAAGCCTTGGCTCCTGAAGTTACCCCTGCTGTGAGCACCCGGGGTGCACAAGGCTCTGTGTTTCTGTGCAATAAAACTCCCTGCATTTATAAGTCATGCCATACAAATCCATTACAAAATAATAATAATAATGATGACACAGAGAGAGAGAGCGAGCAAAGTGTTGGGTTTAAGTGAGACAGGAATACAGGAGGGGGTGATGCTTTGCTTGTCAGCACTGGTTTGGTTGTAGTGTAAAAAAAAAAAAAAAAAAAAAAAGAATCGGTCCCGGCTGAGGAATGCACGCAGGACTGGGTTCATTGCATCTGCTGTGAGCAGAAAGATGGCGTTCACAGACAAAACCGTGCATCTCTAGACTACAGAGAGAGAAATAAAAACAGCTTGAGAATACTTTAAAGTCGAGGTAGCTGGGGAAAAAAGGGCATTTTTTTAAAAGATGAGGAGAAAGTCCTCTTTTAGGGGTCAACAGCGCCAGGATGGAGAGGAGGGTTGATGCAGGAATACCTCCACGTAGGAGTCTGAAGCAGCTTGAGTCACCCATTATATGCTTCCACCACATTTTTTCTTGTTTTGTTTATCTTTTTTTTACTATATAATCAAAAAAAAAAAAAAAAAAATGCACCTTCTCAATGTACCTTCATAAATAATAATAATAAAAACAGCCTGCTTTCACAGTGATGACTAGGATGTTAATAGAATACTGAAAGGAGATTTTAAAGTGAATTCCAAAACAATTATTAGTTGTTTTTTTTTCCATACAAAGCGAAAGCAGCGGTTTTTAGTAATACAGTGACCACTGGTAACCCCAAAAATGAAATAAAGTGGTCGCACAGGCCTGAAAAACTGGACGCCAGCATGCGTGCAGAGCCCACTGAGCTATTTTCTGTAACTCTCTTTTAAAACAAAACAAAAACAAAACAAAGTAAAGCTATTGTGTACAGTACTTCATGACAATGATGGAGTCAGCTGTTGTTCCATTATGATCTGACAATAGTTGGTGAGCTGTAATGATGCTTGTAGAGGACAACTAAATATGTGAGGACCTCAGAGGCCTTCTTCTCTTGTTCTTCCCTTAGATATTCCAGCATGCAGCCAAGTAGCATCAAGTGCCATGTTTCACATCAAATAACTTAAGGTTCAATCTGCGCTCCCTGGACTTTCTTTAAATTTGTAGGGGTCAACACCTGCATGATGTGGTAAACACAAAGCTGTTTCTTCTGCGCGTGGGACGATCTTATCTGAACATTCAAGAAGAAAGCTTTAGTACCAACAAACTCACCGAAACGAGATCGAGAAAGTTTTAACGTGTGTGTGAAGTCGCAGAGGAGTGGGGGGCGGTTTGGTTTATAAAGTGAGGGAAGATTAGTGCACAGGCCTGTTTTTATTTTTTTCCTTTTCAAAAGAACAATTTGGCACAACTAGTTTTGAAATCACGAGTCTTGTTACTTTAAGAGCCTGGCTTTGTCTTTGCTGCTAAATCTGTTTTTCTTCTTCTTCCTTTTTATTGAGCTGTTCTTGTTTACCTGACAGCAGAGACAGATCACCGGGCCCCAGAGGAATACTTGGCCTTGGTGATGAGGTATAGCACAATGTCTTGGTGGCCCCCGAAGGCTGCGATGTGTAAAGCGCTCCACCCTTCCCTGTTGGCCAGTCGGATATCTGCGCCAAACTTCACCAGAAGTTTGACCAGCTCCAAGTTCCCGTCGATGACGGACTGGTGGAGGGCCGTCTGTCCTTCTGGTCCGAACGAGTTCACGTTAAACTCGCAGTTTGTCATGTTCTGCAGCAGGGAGTGCAGCTCCTTGGTGTTGCCCTTCTTCACCGCCTCCTGGAAAACCCTCTGCGGCGCGGAGCACGTCGACACGTCCGCCTGGCTCATGGCTGCAGCGCGCTGGAGGGGTGGAAGAAATAATCCTGCCTGGTGCTCTAAAGCTGATAATAATCGTCTTTATGTCCCCCCCACCCTGTGGAGTCTCAGGTCGGTTTTATTAGGTTACAACCGCTTGTTAAGGCACTTTAAGATTTAAGATGTATCCCCAAAAAGGACAAGTGAAGAGATGACACACCTGGTGTGCAAAAAATATTAATATTTGAGAGATCCTAAATCCACTAAAACATAAAAAAGGTGCTTTCAAGCGATCCAAGAGGTCTCTAGATGTAGTTTTCCTTCTGTAGCAGCAGCAGGTAGCCTTACGCAAGCCGGGATGGAGAAGAGGCACCTCCGATTCGACTCCACGGAGCAGCCTCCAAGTTGTCCGTCCTCCTCCAGCGGTCCAAACTGCTCCCTGGCTAAATGTCTGCGCTCATGTGGCCAGGTGGGTCTGAAAAGGTCAAGAAAGGGAGAGAAAAAGTCTGCATTAATCCATTTTCCTCACCAACAGTCTGCCCTCACATTCCGCCACATCCAACCCGTGCGCACACGTTTTACGCACGGATCTGATGTGGTTAAAAAATGCGTTCTGGCTTACCTGAGACAGACGGGTGGACGGCTCCGTGAAGCGACGTGGACGACAGGGAGAAGAAAAAAAAAAAAGAAGAACCACCACCACCGTGTGGCCCCGGGACGTGTCCTCCTCCTGCGCGCGGTCCGTGTGAGTCTCTGCCCTGCGCCGCGCTCCGGGGGAAGATTTTACGCGTCCTTTATTTGCATGACAATGCGGTCCCAGAGAACCAACTGTGAAGGAATGGGCGGGGGAGGCGGGGAGGTTATAGGCTCGGGGAGAGGGAGGGATCAGGACCCCCGTGTTTCTGAGTGGGGGGGGGGGGGGGGGGGGGGGGGTGCGTTCCTAGAGAAGAAGAAATATTAAACAATGTTGTTTGGACGGTGCGAGAACTGGTTTACTGATAAGTCTGATCAGTTAATTAAACATTTTAAAAATTACTTTGAATAATGTGTCAAAATGCATCCTGTATTCATTACAATGAGGAATGCATATCACCCGCCGCATCCCTGTTTTAAACTAAAATGATCTTGACGGATTTAAAGCCGCTTCAGCTCGTGCGCCATCGTGAGATGTGCCAACTTCAGCGCAAGCGTTAGTCATGACTTTCAGCTACTTAACAGTCTGATGTGGCTAATAATCAGCTGTGCAGCCATCTTTAATTGTGGTGACTCTAAAAGTTGTACATGCACATGATATTTCCCAAAAGTTTTTTTTAATTAAAATCTATTCATGGGATATTTTACTAACAGCCTTTGGAGTTAAATATAAACGAACTGCCCTCAGGTCTCAAAGCGCGCAACCTAGAAGTTGTTGAAGAAAGGCCCGCGCGCTGCTGTGGGTGCAGGAACTCCTCAGAGGAGGTTATTGGCTGCTTCACTCATAAACGGCGGATACAGTCCAGTTGTTTTTGAAACGAGCAGACTGTGGGACTTCAAAATAACAAAAGACCTGCGCTACTTCCGCTCTGCGGCAGAAAGGAGGTGACGCTGCGCGCAGATTGACGCGCCGCCGCCACCGTGGGAACTGGGCGACTGTGTGTGCGCGCGCGTGTGTGTGAGTGTGTGTGAGAGAGGAAAAAAAAAGGGTGGTGAGAGACATAAACACGGCTAGAATAGGTGTTAAAGGAGAGCCAGGACAGAGAAATATGTGTAAACCACCATGATGGAACATCACAGCTTCAATCTGACAGCTCCGTCCCCCCCCCCCCCC